TGTTATCATGCTATAAAATATTTATGATTCTCTATACAATGATTATAAAATAATTTCACTATAGTATTTCAACAATACAGTAACCTAAAAATATTAAAACTTATATCTCAATGCGTGAAAAAATAAATAATTATTTAAAATTAATATATTAAAGTTAATTAATTTGTTTTTTTTTTTTTTTTTTTTTTATTAAAAAAGCCATATAATTTGTATTTGAGAAAAAAAACACAGTAGGTAAGTAAATAAGAAATTTGTAAAATATTATTATATAACGGAATAGCTTGATGAGGGAGGCTATACATTGATAGAACCTTCAGAACGTGATTTAAATTAATTCAGGAGGTCACGGCACCAACGTCTTTTCAGACAGCGATGAGGGTTTTCGGGTAGTGAGCGCGAGGATAAGTGTGAGATGAGTGAGTTTTGATGATGTTGTAGTTTTGAATGAAATTTTGTATAGTATTTTTTGGCCAGTTGGTTTACTGTATCTATTTTTAAGTCTTTATGTAGTGCTTTGTTAGGTTTGTACCAAGGGGCTAAGGCAATGAGTCGAAGTGAGATTGATTGGAAGAAATTAATGGATTGGGTTTGGGATGGTTTGGCGCTGCTCCAGATTTGCATGCCGTAAGCCCAGATAAGCCTTAATAGAGATCTGTATAAAATTGATATAGTGTGAATTGATAATCTGGATTTAAATATGAGGCGAAGCAAATGTATACGGTTATTTAGTATTTTGCGTTTTATTTTTAAGTGAAGGCCCCAGGTTTGGCGTTGATCGAGTTTAATTCCTAGGTATTTTACCTGTGAAGTTGAGGAGATGTCCACTCCTTGCAGTTTCAGTGATGGAGATTCTTTTTTACTAAGAGTAAATACCACATGGAAAGATTTTTTCGGGTTAATTTTGATTCGCTACTGGGTTGCCCAGTATTTATTTGATCAAGATGGGTTTAAAGAGCTGAAGAAGGTAGTATTGTGTCTTTATCGGAGGAAAGTATAACTACTTTGGGAATGTCTGATGTATATATGTTGAATAAATTAATAAATAAAAGCGAGGTCACTCCCTTGGGGGATTCCGGCTTGTATAGGGTAGTATGAGGAAATCGAGTTTCCTAATCTGACTGCAAATGACCTATACACAAGAAGGAACGAATGATTAAATAGTAGGACGCTGGAAGAAAACGTTTTAGCTTGTATAGGATGCTGATATGCCAAACTCGATCGAACGCCTGAGCAATGTCACGATGCACAACACAGATTAATAATTTATATATATAAAAAAAAAGAAAGATTAAAAATGAAATATATATTAATAAGAAAAAAAAATAATAATAAAAAATACAACAAAATAAATTTTATTTAATAATGTTGATAATAATAATAATTTGTTCAGTATTTTAAGAATAATATATGAACTATAACAAACACGAATTATTATTTTTAAAATAATAATAATAATAAAAAAACGGACAATAAAATTATTGAAAAACCAAATGTCAAAAAAAAAAAACAGATTGTAATTCTAAAAGTAAAAGGCCACGAAGACGGCAGAAAGCAGACAAGCGCCGCCGTCGTTCTCGATGGTCGTCACACCGTCCGCGAACGCTTCGGGGCTCATCGCCGACTCCGAAAACTGGTTCGATTATCTATCGGGCGTCCCGATTGATAATCGAACGAATGGCGACACCAAGGCAAAGGGGTGTAACGGGTGAGATCACGGTATTCGTGCGACACGACCGTGTCAGCAAAGTCTAAAAAGATCCCGAGGCAGAATTCCTTATTTTCGAATGAGGTTTCGATTTTTTTCTTTGAGTCTATGAATTTGATGTATTGTTGAGTGATTTGTTCTGAATCCGAATTGCGAATGAGGTATTATGTTATGGAAACTAATTATGGATCAAATTCTTTTTAGTAAAATGTTTTCGAATACTTCTGCTAATGTGGAAGCAGACTTATCGGCCTATAGGAGGTTGTAAAATTTTTAGGTTTCAGAAGTTTGTGTATCAGGATTATTATAGAGAATTTCCACGTTAGTGGAAAATAAGAAAGTCTTAGCATTGAGTTATAAATTAATGTGAGGAGAATTAGTGTTTTGTTTGGAAGGTGCTTACGTATTTTGTTTGAGATTAGGTCGTAATCCGGCGACTTCCTTACTTTTAATTTATTTATTATATATTTTAATTCGTTTGGAGTTTTATGCTTTGCTGGAAGGAACATAGGCAATGAGCTGTCAAGAAAGTTTTTTATTTCATCTAGTTGCTCTAGATTGGAGATAATGTTGGAGTGGGGAGTAATGGTTTTCGAGAGATAGTTTCCGAAAAAGTCAGCTTTATCTTTATCTGAGATGACTAGATGACCGTTTGGGTTTTTTAGAGGAGTAGATTGTTCTTTAACTTTAAGGATGTTTTTAGAGATTTTCCACAGAATCGTCTTATGTGTTAAGCGATTGATATTTTTCCACAAAAAATTTTAATTTTTGTTTTTTTATTTGCTTTTTTATTACATTGGTTAAATTGTTTAATATGCGTTTATTGGAAGGTAGATTATGACGTAACCAACGTGAATGGGTCCAACGCTTTGTTTTGATTAATTCTTGTATATGGGGGAGAAGAGAGTTTTTGAATAATGAATTTTCCGCAGGTGTGTATGTTTTAAATGACGAGTTGTATACAGCGATTTGAATTGAAGTTGTGAGATTTTGGACTGCGTTCTCAATTTGTTCATTTGTTTTGAGTGAGATTTTTAAATTGGTTGAGTTTTGAAAATTTTTGGAAAAGAAGTCCCAATTGATTGGTCCTTTAGTTAGAGAAGGCCGCTGAGGGTTTAGAGTTATCGGACCGTTTATTTGTAGTAGAACTGGGGTGTGGTCACAAGCTGGATAATCTAGGTTTTTTATTCTGGATTTATATGTTTAGAAATTGTAGATAGAAATAGGTTAAGTGTATCTAGATGTCTATTACAGTGTGATGGCCAATATGTAGGTCCCGGGGGAAATATGAATGAATGTCTTTTGTTTTGAAAGAAGTTTTGGAACATGTGTCACCGAGTGTTGGTGACACGACATCCCCATTAGGGGTGTTTTGCATTGAAGTCACCTTCAATTAGTGATGTATTACTGACTAAATTTAGAAACTGTTCTACTTGCTGGATACATATTGCATGTTTTGGGGGGACAGTATATTGAGAAAATAGTAGTAGGAATATGATTTAGAGTGATTTGTACTTTTGCGGTTTGAATGGTATTTGTCTGAAAATTAGGTAAAGGTTGATTGTGTATTTTTGTGGAAATTATAATAGCGGATCCACCATGGGCGGTTCCGTCGAGATGAAATTATTCAAAAATAAGAATATTTTGCAAGCATTAACATTTTTGACCCCAATAAATTTACAGATATGAATAACTATACATTTCAAAGAGTAACTTAGAAGCAGAAATGAGAGTGGCATTTTATGTTTTAGGTAGTAAAAAAAAAAAAAAATTTCAATATAAATGGTGTCAAAAAAATTGCCGAAAAACAAATATTTCCAAACCTTTTTAAACTTTTACAAGTGGCTTTATCTATTCCTATAAGTTCAGCCACCTGTGAAAGGTTGTTCTCTTCAATGAGACCAATAAAAAATTGGCTTAGATTTTCCATAACCCAAAATCGATTTACAAATTTATTTATTTTAAATATAGAGAGATGTAACCAACAAATTAAACAAAAATGAAATTGTAAATAAATTTGCTGAAAAAAATAGAAAAGTAATGTTAATTTAATTAGGCTTTATAATAAACATTATTAGTAATGAACTGTATATTTTATTGATTATATATGTATATCATTCTTATTCATATTTATTTAGGTAGCTAGTCTGTAAGTAAAAAATGACTAAGTGACAAAATTTTGACAAAACGAGAAAACGTTTCATAAAAGTATATGAATGGAGTGCGGTATTTTATGGTTGCAAAATATGGATATTAATAAGGCGGAACAATGAACACTCGAAAGCTTTGAAATGTGGTGTTGGAGAAGGATGTTGAGAGTGATTTTGATAGAATATCATATCAACAAAGGCATACTCAATGAAATAGATGAAGGAAGAGAAATACTCAAACCCATCAGAACAAGAAGATGGCATATGATGGGTCACATATTGAGACACGAAAATGAACTAACTCATAGAATAATAGAAGGAAAAATTGAAGGTAAAAAGGATCGAGGATGTCCGAGAACTTCATTTGTCAAACAAATGATCTCCGAGGCTGGACTAACAAGTTATAAGAAACTGAAAAAGCTAGTTGAGAACAGATAAGAGTGGAAAGCGCATATCCAATTGTAAAACCAACCTTAAGGGTTGAATACTAAAAAGAAGAAGAAGCTATAAGAGTGGTTTTCAAGCTCTTTTCAAACACGGTACACTGCGCTCTTCACAATATTCATATTACATGTTGCACGTGTTTCGGTAATAAAGAATTAATTTTCGTTATTTAATTTTTACATCAAATCAGGCAAAAAATTTTTAAAAAATTGAAACTGTACATTGTTATGCATAATCTTTTTATTTTCAAAACCTATTTTGTAAACCATTGAGTTATAGCGTTTAGCATTATTGTTAGTATTTACGTATACTAACCTTGTACATTTACGAAAATCTGTTCAAACGTAAAATTCAAATTTAATGCAAAAGAGTATAAAATTACTTTTCATAATCGCACTGAGTGGTGTTTTTAAGTGATTAATATACTGAAAATGTAATTTTAATCCAAACGCAATGGGCCGTTTTATCAACAGCGAGTGTTGACCTTGGTTTTAATAAAACGAAAAATAATAGAATATTTACTCGGGTTTATTGTTCGTAAGGAAAGTAATTAAAATCACTATGAAAAACGTATGGTAACTAAATTACTTAATATACTTGTAACATTACATAAATAATAGTTCAAGTACGAGCAAGGATTGTACGTTATAGTTAAAACCAAACGACATGTAAATTATTAATTATAAAATTCCTTTTCGTACCTGAAATGCCATGACTTGACACGGTAGCAAGTTCTTTGAGGTAATGCATTCTAAGACACATATTATGCTTTATTATGTTGTAACATACTACAATGGCGTTTTTGAATGGCTGAATTCGCCGACTAAGTTGTAGCATTGATTAAATATTTAATCAATAGTAGTAGGTAGTATGTACTAGGTAAGAGTTAAATTCAATGTTTGAATTTAAAAACTTATGTGGACACTGAGCACTCTGCAACAAAGTGTTAAATAGATATTAAGTATACAAGTGTCAATAGGTATCTATACTTTAAAATAATTAATATATAACATATAATATATATAATATAATATTTTTAAAAATTATAATATAGGTAATCAAATAAAAAAATAATATTTAAAAACAATCACTGTTTATTATTCATCAATATTATTTAATTACCCATTCATTATAATCTTAAAAATAAATTTTTGTGATACCTACTACCTACCTAGGTAATACTTTTAACAAATAATTAAAACAATAAATTGATTATTATTGTATTTTTAGAAAGGTGAAATAAATCTGCATTTATCTATCTATCTATCTATCTATACTATACACAAAATTGTAAGGGTTTTTCTTCGACCACGCTAACCGAGAAAACTACTGAACCGATTTGGCTGAAATTTTTTTTGGCTGAAACCCGACACTCTTCTGAAGGTTTTAGTACCACTTTTGTCAGTAAAAAAGTTCATAAAAATTCACAAAAAATTAAAAACAATTGTACCTATATTGTGAGTGTACCTATATTATCAATCCGAGATTGATTATTTAAATATTAAAGCGCTTCAAATTGGACGAATGACTATTATGTCCTAAGTGCCATGCAAAAAAATGGAAAGATGAAACCCATGGACTTTGCTGCGCTGACGGTAAAGTTGTTTTACACCAATTTGAGGATCTTCCAGACCTAATTAAAAGTTTAATTGATAATTCTCACCCTCTATCAGAACATTTCTTTGATAATTCTAGATGGTATAATACTCTGTTTCAAATGACATCGTTTGGAGCAAACGAAATAGCTGAAGGGAACTTCATGCCCTCTTTTCAAATTCAGGGTCAAGTGCATCACTTATTAGGTAATTTATTACCCGAAATTGGAAATAATGCTAAATGTTTACAAATATATTTTATGTCAGAGTCGGATCAAATATATATTCGAACAAATATGATTCCAAATTTAAAAAGAGGTCTCATTGAATTATTGCAAACAGTTTTGAGTGAAAATAATCACCTCATACAGAGCTTCAGATCTAATCTGGAGTCGAGGTCTTTTAATGAGTTGCAAAACTTTAAATTAATTATTCATGCTGACAGAGTTCCTCAAGATGAACACAGAGGTCAATATAATGCACCTACCATCGATGAAGTAGCTGTATTATTAGTTAATAAAGATAAAGGTCCCAGAGATATAGTTCTGCACGGTCGGAGTGGACACTTGAGTCGTGTTTCCGAATTGATCTAATAGATCTTATGATGCACTGCAATATCCATTGATGTATACTAGAAGCGAAGACGGTTATTATATTAATACTTTATAGAAAAATAACCAAAATTGAACAAAAACTGTCTCCTGCATGCAATTTTATTCTTATAGGTTTATGATTAGAGAAACAAGTCTAAATCATCTACATTATTACAAAACATTATACAGCCAATTCGCCGTAGATATGATGGTAAAAATGATTTCTGAAAGACTACACTTAATTCGTAACCATCAAAAACAACTACGTGCGGATGATTATGTTCACCTCCGAGATGGTGTTAACAATGATGTAAATATTAATGATAATAACGTGGGGCAACAAGTAATTCTTCCCTCCTCTTTTACTGGCTCCTCACGTTACATGCATGAAAAAAATCAGGATGCCATGACTTATGTTCGTAAATTTGGCCTTCCAGATTTATTTATTACTTTCACATGCAACCCGGAATGGCCGGAAATAAAAAATGAATTATTTCAAGACCAAAAGTCGTTTGATAGACACGATATAATCTCTAGAGTTTTTCATCTCAAACTAAAAAAGTTTATGCATGTATTAAAAAATAAATATATTTTCGGTGATGTAAATTGTTATGTTTACAGTGTTGAATGGCAAAAACGAGGTTTTTGGTTACAAACGAAAATTCAGCCAGATGAAATTGATAAAATTATTTCTGCCGAAATACCAAACAAAGGCAGAGATCCTATACTTTATGAAGTAGTATGCAAGAATAATGCAAGAAGAATGCGGCGAGTTAAATATTAGATCGCCATGTATGAATAATGGAAAATTTAGTAAGAAATACCCTCACAAATTGGTCAAGGATACTCAAACTGGAGATGATGGTTATCCGACTTACCGACAGAGATCACCAGATGATGGAGGTTATACTGCAATATTAAAAGTTCGTGGTCAAACAGAAATCGTGGTTGACAACCGTTGGGTTATACCGTATTGTCCAGTGTTATCTAGGTACTTTAATGCGCATATTAACGTAGAATACTGTTATTCGGTTAAAGCGATAAAATACATATATAAATATATTAATAAAGGATCAGATAGAGCTACTTTTTCTATTAATCGTGGAAACGATGAGATTATAAATTATTTGAATGGTTAATACATATGTACTTCTGAAGCGTTCTGGAGAATTTTCAATTTTGAAATCCATGATAGAGATCCGACAGTTCAGCACTTGGCTGTTCATCTAGAAAATGGACAGCGTGTTTTCTTTAATGCTAATAATCTTCATCAAGTTATTGAAAATCCAAGAAAAACGACACTAACTGCATTTTTTGAACTGTGTTCACATGATGATTTTGCGAAAACACTGTTCTATCATGAAGTTCTTTCTTATTATACCTGGGATGATAGCAAAGGCTGGTTAAAGAGAAGACGGGGAAAAGATGTTCCAGGTTGGCCAGGAATAAAAATGGACACTACCATTGGTAGAATTTACATGATTCACCCAAATCAAAGTGAGTGCTTCCATTTAAGATTGTTACTAAATTATGAACAAGGTCCTACTTCATTTGAAAGCTTGAAGGCCTTTGATGGAGTCATTCACGCGGATTTTAAAGCTACCTGTTTTGCTCTTGGGCTTTTAGAAAATGACGAGCAAAGGAAAAATGCTCTAACGGAGGCAACTCTTTCAGAAAGTCCTTCAAAATTAAGAGAATTATTCGTAATAATCATAGTTTTCTGCCAACCGTGTGAACCTCAATCTTTCTGGGAACAGTTCAGAAATGATTTTTGTGAAGCTATTCTTCATACAAAGCGCACTCGATTAAATGACTTACAATTTACTTTTTCTGATGAAATATTTAATAGAGGTTTGATTGAAATAGAAGATTAAGTTGTTTGTCTGTCTGAAAAATATTTAACTGAATTTGGAATGAACTCACCTGTTCGAAATAAAAATGCATCTGATCCTTTTGAATTCTCAATTTTGCGTTCTTACGATAATAACCGATTACAAGAATTTGTAGAAATCAATTTACCAAAATTAGTAAATGATCAAAAATATGCTTTTAATGTTATTATAGATAGCGTAATGAATCATCAAGGTAGAGTTTTTTTTTTAGATGCTCCGGGTGGTACAGGAAAAATATTCCTAATTAATTTGTTGTTGGCTCAAATTAGATCCTCAGGTAAAGTTGCATTAGCAGTAGCTTCATCTGGTATAGCAGCAACTCTCCTTAGTGGCGGCAGAACTGCTGACTCGACTTTCAAGTTACCGTTAAATGTATTATTTGATACAGAATACGTTTGTCCGATTCGTAAAAATGGCCCTCTTGGAAAAATTCTTCAAAAATCCTTATTCGTTGTGTGGGATGAGTGTACAATGAGTCATAGATCACATATCGAAGCAATTGATCGAATATTAAGAGATCTTAGGTGTAATAATAAGTTTATGGGTGGAATAACATTTGTTTTCGCTGGTGATTTCCGTCAAACCTTACCAGTAATCCCTAAAGGTACTCGAGCTGATGTCGTTAATGCTTGCTTAAAATCTTCTCATATATGGAACTATGTTGAAAAACTTTATTTGCGAACAAACATGAGAGTTTATTTATGCGGAGGGGACGATATTTTTTCAGCACAGTTGTTGAAAATTGGAAATGGAACTTTAGAAAATGAAAATGGTTACATTTCTGTCAATCACACGATTGGACGGGTGGTCAATAACGTGGAAGAGTTGATTTCTACAGTTTATCCTGACATTTTTAATCTGTCCAATAAATCTTATCAGTGGTTATGTGAAAGAGCTATTATCTCTTCGAGAAATGTAACAGCAGGAGAAATGAATGATATCATCCTTCTAAAATTCGATGGACACTTACGTGAATATCTATCTATTGATACAGTTACATCAACAGATGATGCTATTCAGTATCCACAAGAATTTCTCAATTCTCTTTCTCCTTCGGGATTTCCTCCTCATAAGCTAAAATTAAAAATTGGTGCTCCAATTACATTATTACGTAATTTTGAACCACCGAACTTATGTAACGGTACAAGATTACAAATAAAATCGTTGCGAAATAATATTATAGAAGCCGTAATTCTTACAGGGCCAGCGAAAGGAGAAATTGCATTTGTTCCAAGAAATTCCATGATTCCCTCTGAATTGCCGTTTTCTTTCAAACGGCTTCGATTCCCGGTTAAAGTTTCTTTTGCCATTACCACAAACAAAGCGCAAGGTCAAACATTCAAGTACGTTGGCGTAGATCTTCGTACAGAGTGCTTTTCACATGGGCAATTATACGTGGCATTTTTTCGAACTGGGGACCCGAATCATCTTATGATTTTAATTTCAACAGGAAATATAACAAAAAACATCATATACTCAGAAGTCTTATAAAATTCTTATTTTAATTCTTTTTTTTTCTTTTTTTTCTTCATCAACTTCAATCAAATTCTTTATCAACCATAAATTATTTCTTTTTTATCTGTATTTATTTTTATCATTTATAACGCTAGAAAAATTTTAATTCGTTTTCATTAACCGTTTTTTTATATTTACTTGCCGATCACATTAAACAATAATATTTGAATAAAAAATTAACGGAGTTCATGGGCGAAGCTGTGACGGGTCGGCTAGTATATATATATATAATAATAATAATAAAATATAATAATATTAAAAAACTGTTTTCATATATTTAAACTTAATAATGTTATTTACATATATAAACATGTATATCAGGTAACTCCGTAAGTATAATATATACCCTTTTTATAACAGAAAAAAAATGTAAAAAAAAAAAAAAATTAACATATCCACTTTTTTACATAACTATCATAATCTGTCATGAGTTAAGTAATTTTGAAACAAATTTTTCAGCAGAAATTTTCTTCTTTACCTTATTCTCTTTTTCATTTATATTAAACATAGAACTGTAAAAAAACATAAAAATAATTAAATAATTTTTAGTATAGGAATTATTGTTATAAAATAAATGTGTTACCTTTGGAGAAACTGCAAAATACCAGCCAATTCCTTAGGATATTTAATGTTAAATACATAAAAAGACATAAACATTATTATAATGGCCTCTTCAACTGTCACTGGTTCACGCCATAAACATTGCTTGTCCACAAAAACAAAACATTTTGGATTCAACCAAATATTACCTATGCATTTGTTACATAATTATTATATATATGGCATAAAACTAGCAATTAGGAATTACAATCATCAAATTATCCATAAGTACTTAAATTATAGAGAAACAGGTTTTTTAAAATACATTATTAGATATATTACAATGAATTAAGAGATTTATTCAACATAATACAATTTTCAGTTTCAATAGTATGACTTCTCTCAAAATTGTTTGTTTACTATTAATATTTCATCTAACAATATGTAACAAGTTGGGTCTAAGTGCGAGACATTTTTACTTAAGAAAAGAAATTGATTATATTTTATAAAACTATCTTACCAAGACAAACTACAACAGGTGTTGAAATTATTTTCTTATTTGATTGCACTTCATCAAGACTACATGTGTCCTATAATTTAATTAAAAAAGATATAATAATTAAATGAGTTGATGGAAAAATAAAATGAAAGGCTATAGGTAGATATTAATATTTACTTCAAACATAATAAACATCAGCTCAATATTCTCTTTCATAATAGCCATGTAACATAATAATATCGTCAAAAAATCACTATAATTATTGTTATTATTGTCATGGTCTTTAATTATATCCATTAATGTTGTTTGCAGATTATTATCTTTACGCTTTCTTTCAGCTTCTGCCTGGACAAACTTTAACATTGTGGGTATTTTTGTTTTAAAATTATTATCTTCTATATTGGTTAGGAAGTAGAAATGGTTCTTCAGGTATAGTTCCTATAGATATGAATATAACATTATATTTAACATTTTATGTACTGATTTACAACATTATTTATGATTTTATAAAAATAAAATCCATACTATAAACAAAAATTACCTTGCCGAGGAATGGCCATTCCAATAATATTGTATCAATTGGATCAGCATTTAAAATCATTTGTCTTTGAGAAGCATACGTAGTTTTCATATAACTGGAAAGATTTGATTTAAATGTATAGGACATGAATAATTTAAAGGTTTAACAATAATTTTGCATAGAGATCAATGGCATTTGGACACTAGAAATATTATTTAAATGAATAAAATGTATATTAAACGATACAGCACTCATAAATTATGATTATTTATTTTATTGGACTTGAACTATCACAAGTTTAAATAATTTAATGCTTTTCGATATATTTTACAAGATATTGCACACAGAGTCAGTGATTACAATTCTTTTATTAAATATACAGGTAATACAATAATTATGTACTTATGTCTAATATAAGTAAATGATAAAGACATTATTTTATTTAAAGGATAGAATAGATATATATTATTTACAAATAGTATTTCTTAATGGCCCAACTACCATTAGTCTTTAAGCAAATAATTTTAAACCATTATCTTTTTACATTGTTTTCCACCCAATTCTCAAAAGATTTGGAATATATACCTAATAGTATTTGTTTTACCTAGTGACATGGTACCAGTCTATGTCTACTAACAGATACGTAGCTTTCAACCAGTTTTTCTTTTTTTCAAGAGTACAATTTGCAACTATGATATAGGTATGTATGTTATACATAGAAATACATATTTTTTTAAATAGAAATAAAAAGAAAACTATGCTTAAAACTTCTATCGTTATATACTATCTCATTGTACCTATATATTTACAATAATTGATTATAATAGCACAATAAATTGATCTTAGCCATTTTTAATACCTGAATTCTAAATTAACATGATTACAATAATATTGTATATTTTTAATTTTTTTAATAATACTGTACTTTATTGAAGATCCATCTATAAGTACCATATATAAGATCTATAAGTACAACTAAAAAATTAATAGTTGAGTTACTAAAGATACTTACTGAGGTACCAAAAATAACGCTTTCATTTTTTTTTCATACCGTCTGTATAAAATAATTTTATACTAAGTGTATAATACCTTGTATAATACAGTTTTATACCACTGTATAATACAAACTCACATCACTATGTATATGTAGTAGCAGGGCCATATTTACGCACGGACAAAATAGACATTTGTCCTGGGCCTACGTGGCCAAGGGGCCCACTGGTGACTAACTTTGTAATATATTATTTTGTCGAAATAAATTTTTTTTTTTATTGTTTTTGTCTAGGACATAATATCAAGACAAATGACATAATAAAATATATACATAAAACAAAAATACAAAGATAGTTTATATAATAGTGCAAGAATTAAGAAACCAATAGTTTGTATTTTTAGCTATAGACTATAAGCTTAGAAATATTCGTATGGTATAATTTATAAACTGAATAATAATACAACCTTTTCCCCGCAATGTGATAACTATAGTCACACCATTTTATATTATTTTGTGGTAAAAATAATAATAAATACACAGCTCGCATTATAGCCATGCACGATAACGCCGATAACATTGTACATAATATATATATTTTTATTACGAGTACATTACTCGTAATTGGTGGTGGTCGACAAATAATACAAATGTACAGACGTACAGTTGTGATTTATGATTCCAACGAGCGACATATTATATTATTTTATTTTATATAAAATGTTACCAAAAAAATATCTAAGTAGCTCCGCCAAAAGAAAATTAAAAGAAAAAAAAGAAGAAGAAATTAAAAAGTTACGTGGAAATTTAAATAAATATGTTGTTAAAATTAATACAGAATCATCTCCATCACTTATTATTGATAATTCAGAAAGTAAGTAGTTCAAACTAATTTATAATAAAATATATTATTGTCCGAGAAAAAAAAACGAAATAATATAGCTACTAATAATAATAATATATATACTCTTATTTTATGTTTTTAAATAATACTCATTACTCAAGTATATATATGTAATATTTATATTTATTTTTTATTTTTTAGTCAATTCACAAAATTTAAATTCAGAAAATATTACTAACCAGGTTAAATCAAATGAACTAACGATTAATGAAGAATCTACGACTCAATCTATGGTAAGTTTATTTGAAAATGAACTTGAAAAACATGATCAAAATCCAATCGATAATAATTTAAATACAATTAATAACGATATAAAACAAATCAATTTTGAAAATTTCATTGACGATATTGCTTTATGGCCCTTATCCATAACGGACAATTTTTGGGAATACTTCACACTTCATCCTCCAAATCAAAATATTCAAACTATAGACGAGTCCAAGAAATCGATAAGAGGTATTTCTCGTAAATTAAAAAAAACATAATTTTTATATAACAAAAATGAATGGTACCTCAGTTCCAAGAACTTGGTTAATATATTCTCCCTCGGGTGTCAGCGTATTCTGTTATATTTGTAAATTTTATGCTAAAACTTCAAAACATTTACTTTGCAAGGAAGGTTATAGTGATTGGCATCATATTACTGAACGGCTTATTGAACATGAGAATTCAACTACTCATAGAAATGTAATATGTGATTATTCCAATCGTTCTGTAGAATTAAAACGTACTATAGCTGTAATTCAGTTTGGCCAAAGAGGTTTAGCTTTTTTTGGGGAAAATGAAATATTAGGTAATTCCCATAATGGTAATTTTTTAGGTATTATGGAATTAATAGCTAAATTTGACCCATTCCTTAAGGAACATTTAAATAATTATGGAAATAAAGTTAGTGGAAAATCTAATTATATTTCACCCCATATAATTCGTGAGCTTATATCACTGATGGCAGATAAAGTTTTAAATGTAATTGTAGAAGAAATAAAAAATGCTAAATATTTTGGCCTTATTGTAGACTCAACGCCAGATGTGACACATATAGACCAACTAGCTATAGTTTTACGTTATGTAAAATCTGATGGCCAAGCCATTGAACGTTTTATAAAATTTATAGATATTTATAGTCATAATGCTGAATACTTAACATCAACTGTTATTGAAACAATAAAACAATTAGGTTTAAATATTGAGAACTGTGTTGTAGAGCTCTGCACGGTCCGTAATTTCTTGGACCGGACCGGACCGATGGAGAATATTTAAGACCGAGACTGGACCGAACCAATATGTATGGCAATGCAACTGGACCAGACTAAACCGATATATTTTTAATTTTTTAAAAAAGACCAAAATGGACCGATGAAAAAAAAATTTCTCAGTAGAAGACCGGAGACTAGACTTAAATTAAATTTTTAATTTAAGACTAGACCGGACCAATCTATAAAGGTATTAGGCAGGACTGGATCGGACCGAATCGGACTAGACTTAATTATAAAGGACATAAATTTAAATTATAACTGAAAAAAAATGAGTATGACTTAAACAACTACAGTATAATAATTGGAACTTAATTACTTATTGTTGTAATACTACGTTATACTAAATGTATTTCCCAATGTTATACCACATACCAACATACCTATTTTAAATATATTTGAGCATTATTTTTTACTCGAATGTTAGTATTGATTAACATAATACGTTAACGTTATTATTGTATATGATTAACATATTATGTTATACTTATATGCACATTATAATTAAGTTGTCATATCAACCCAGTAGATCATGCATACAATAATAGAAGTAGTCAATTGGCAATAGCCTCCATAGTTGATTCTAAAAATAAACAATTAATATGTTATGTTGTGACAAAAATAATAAAAACCTGACAACAATTATAAAAACCAATAATACATTATATAGTTATTGTTATTCAGAACTGATATTGATTTATTTTTATTCAATAGTAGAAAATGTGACCAAAACATATTATATACTTAGAACATATATATATAATAAATAATTAATAGATAACAATAATAAATTAGAAACTTTATTTTTCTAAATTTTTGAAATGGTTGTTTAAAAATAAAATTGCATCCACAGATGAGCCACTAAGGCAACTCCTTCGCTCTTCAACCACTCTTCCAGCAGTACTAAATGATCGCTCACTACTAGCGCTACTTGCTGGAATAGCAAATATTTGCTTAGCCAATATGGATAAGAGAGGAAAATTTAATATTTGATTTTTCCAAAATGTTAAAACATTATCTTCTTTTATATCAAACTCAAAGTATTTTTGTTTGTACTCTTCTAGTTCTTTTTTATACTTGGGGACATTTACTGAATCTTCGGAATCATTTTCAGCATCCTCCCACTCTGAGAACGGTGTAATCTCGGAAGATTTTTTAGGAACATCTCTTTCTATTGGTTGTAGAATACTTGAGTCACTATTTTCTTCTAATTCAATCTGCAACAGTTTTACCTCAATATTTTGATGGACACGGGCTTTATCATTTTCACTAAACATTTTTAATGATTTAAATTTTGGTGACAAAAATACAGCAATTTCATGCTCATTAAATAATTGGAATTTAGAATCCATGAGTTTTAATCCTTGTTTTCCTAATATCTGTAAAATGGAGTTAGTTGTAGGTTCTTCACCACTGTTACACAATATATTGATGTGAAAATCAGCATACTTTTTTTAATGCTTTTTTAAAAACTGTTGATATAAAATTGCTTTATGGATAGTTGAGCATTTGTCACCCTCAAGATCATCAGAGGCTTTCTTGAATGGTTCTAAAAACTGAATAATTTGTTTAAGTAAATCAGTGTTAATATTTTTGATATGACCAAAGTCTTCTCCGTGAATTTGAATAATTTCTGGAAGTGCTCTATGTACTGACTGAAACATTAATAGTCGAGTGTTCCACCTCGTCTCAATCTCTTGCACAAGTCCTTTGCTAAGCTCACAATTTCTTCCAGAGCTTTTCATATATTTAACCAAGTTTTTACATTCAACCATTAATGTTAAAATGGGTTCTAATGGTTTAATTCCAAATTCTTCTTCTTGCTCTAAAAATTTGATGTCAAACAAATTTCTCAAAACCGTGTTTAGTAAGTGAGCGCAACAATTCAATCTATTGTAGTTTCTAAGTGCGCTTAACATATTTGAACCTTGGTCAGTAACAAAAGTGACACAGGACATCAAATCATTATTTACCTCAGAAGCTGATTCAGATATTTGACAAAAAAAATTAGACATAAATCGTTTTATATTTTCACCAGTTTTTGTTTCATAACTAGGAAATTGGCCAGTCATGAGTAGGCGATTATTAAGTTCCCAGTTACTATCAATATAATCCAATGTTATTGACATGTAACTATTTTTTCTATAGTTGTCCGTCCACATGTCACAAGTCGATGCACACAACTTTTTTTTTATACAAACAAATATATATTTAAAAAGCTCATTTCTTATTTCGTTAGCAGTTTTTTGTATATGTCTAGATATAGTAGTTGGATGAGGCAAAATATCAGTTATGTCAGTTCTTCCAAATGTTGCACCAGTGTTCAATAGAAATTGACCAAAACTCTTTAAACCTTCACCATTAATAGCAGACATTGGTCTAATATCCAAACAACAATATTTAACACATTTTTCTATTGTTTCATTTTTTAAATGTGTTGGTATTATTTTTTTTTCTTGTTTGTGACTTTAGTATACATTTCGATTGTTTTTTGTGATTTTAGTTCATAGATACATTTGTGTCTGTTCAGTGTAGCTGTTCCTGTGCTTTTTCTATAGAGTTTTTTGCATTTGATACATGCAACAAAATCAGTCAATTCTTCATCAGGAGAATTCGTTGAATCCAAATTTTCTATATTTTGTTTAACAAACATAACCGTTTGAAATTTTTCCCAAATTGTATTTTTTCCGCCGTGTGGTACCAACATATACTCCCCAGTATCATTTAACAATTTCCGTTTGATTACAGTTTTTGAGCTTGAAATATTGATGTTTGTTGACAATGGAGTAGTATCAATTAAAGATGAAGAACTTGAAGCGAAAGAAAAATTAGAAGCATCATCCATTGTGTTATCTGGTGTTGGAGTATTGTTTCTTAAATATCCCTTAGTATATGTAATGGTTGGAGGACTTAGAAAACTTGAGTCCAAAAATTCACGTATTTCTTGGGAGTTATTCATGATTCTAAAATAATTTAATAAAAAAACAATTAATGCTAGCATTAATTTTGTGAGAATTATAATTAAAAAAATATACAAAAATACAATAAAATTAGAAACTGATTTATTCACCTTTTTTTCACAAAATAATTTAAATTATGATTTTGAAAAATATAAAGAATATTTAAGTGATGCATATGCATATATTTACACTCAGCAAATGATTATTCCTTTGTAGGTATATTATAAAATTGGCTGGAGTTGAAAGCTATTTAAGCTCATTTAAAGCTATTTAAAGTCAATTTAAAAAAATATACCTCATCAACTATTAATAATAATAAGGTACTTTTATTCTAAATTAAATATCAATATTATAAAATCATATTACTACCTCTCAAATTAAAAAAAAAAATGTAGATTGTAGTAAAACAAACCATTATTTAAGTACTTATATAAAAGTATAGGTTGGTGGTTTATATTATCAGTGTCGTCCAGAAGTTTTGCGAGGCCCTGTGCAGTGTGCATAATTTTGATTCTAGGCCCTTGGGCTCACAATATTATAATGAGGTTCATTAATCATAAGTATCTTCACTAAAATACAAACTTCTATTATTTCATAGGGTTTATTTATGCAACAATCTGTTAGTCATTTTTGCTTCAAAATAAATACAAATAATACAATTAGGGGCTTGGTCTATCCTAATCTATCCTAGTTTCCATTAAATCAGACAAGTCCTCCACCTTATAAAGTTAATCACGAAGTTATTTGGATTAAAAACAAAGTAGTTTCATTTTAACATAATGGAAATAGGTTAACATAACTTGAGTTGAGATGAAAATATAAATCTTCATTTCTACATTTAATACTTAATAAATAAAACTATATGAAATAAGTAGTGTAACTGAGGACATTTCGAAAAAAATTGAGAATATTATAAAAAATGTGTATCAACCCTGTCAAGACTCAAATGTATTTTAATTTGATATACAAAACAAATATATGTATAATTATTGCAAATACGTTCAAGAATAAAAAATATTGGACATTGTTGATTTCTAAAAACTAAAAAATATAATTTTTCATTTAAGATTTTAATCAAACAAAAAACCCTCTCATAAATGTTATGTTATGCTAATTTAAAAAACATTACATTTTTAAATATATAAACAAATTATACAAACTAATTTACTATACAATATGTCAACTTAAGGATAGAAATAACAAATTAAAATAAAAACTATATTATTTTACTCATATCAAAATTTAAAATATGTATAAAAAACAAAATACTGATATTAAATCAAAGTTAAAATATTTAAAATGTAATTACTATTATAAATTCAACAAGTTATAATAGATAAAATAGTAATAATTAGTGGCGTAATTGGGGGATATCGAGGGGTCGTACTTGCGAACTAGGTCACAAAAATATTAATTTGCTGAAATATCTATATTACATTAGTTAACAAATTAAAATAGGTTAATAATTTTTTAATTACTTAATTATAAAAAAAAAAAAATTGACAATGAGGAAATTTTAACTATACTCGTATACTATCAATAATTCAATATAAGTTACTCTTATTACACCAATAAAAATATAATAAATTACAATTCATTATCATAGAATATTAATATTTTTTTTTTTAATATCTTATAGGTACATAACTATCTAAAAGTTAGACATTTTGAAAAGATTGTTAATTTTATGAAATAATAATACACCAATACAGGAAACTGTATTATATAAGATATTAATTTAACATATTATAACTACAACAGAGTGATTAAATAATTTAAACATCCTTATTCTTCATAGATATTTAATACTTATTCTTTAGTATTTATTAACCTATGAGAATATTATATGCAATTGAATTAAAAATCTAACTAATATATTATTTGAAATAAACAATTTAAATTATAATATATAGAAACATAAATTGTAAATATAATGAACACAAAAAATAAGCTTTAAGTAATGTAATTTCTTGGTACTATTGAATTTGAAAAAATACTTCAACATTTATTTAATTTTATTCTTTCTATAACTTTAAGTTAAATTATTATACCTACATTTAATGTTTTATTTTGTTTTTTATAATATTCAGTATTGATATATTTTTCTAGCCCATTGCCTAATATGGTTGAGTATTATTTAAAATTTAAATTTGTCTATTAAATAATAAAAGGCCATGTTATTACTTATTACTAGAGGTCGGATTTTTATGATTTTACATATTCGTTTCTACTCTATGCAGTTAAATGGGAGCGAGAAATCTTTACGATTCATGAAACACAGAATTCACAAGAAAAAATGTATTTTGCATAAAAAAGCATATTTTAGGGGTTAGAGAATATTTCACGTATATCAGCACTTTGATAAATACAATGTTCACTAAATGATTTATTTCTAGGTTTTAATAAAAATTAATCAAACAAAAAAACAAAGGATACAAATTTTTGAGAAATATTGAACAGATTCTTAGTGGATATAACACAGTACAACTTCCGGAAAATTATTTACCGACTATGGTAGCCAACTTGCAATATACTCCAGTGACATCGGTTGATGTCGAACGGTCCTTCAGCATCTACAAAAATATTCTTACAAACCGGCGCGGCGTACTAAAATGACACCGGAACACATTGAACAATATAATATATAGTAATCAATTGTATTTGTAAAAGTAATTAAATTAAATATATTTAAAACCAAATTAACAAAAAATAAATTTAAACTGAATTTTTCTTTTGATATTAAATGAATATTTTGCATATTTAAGGACATAAAACATCATATATTTGGTATTTTGAAAGAATATTAAGAGAATATATTGTCTATTTTATGTGACATAAAAACATCATATTTTAAGGATTTAAAGAGAATATAAATCCGACCTCTACTTATTACTAATCAACTGATAAGTAAAAACTATACTTATCAAACTATCACCTATTATAAATTATAACATTATTAATCAATTAATTTATCAACATCAATATCAATTAATTGTCAAAGATTAGATTTTTTATAAAGTACATAGTGTTAATTGGTATAATTATATCCTTAGATTTTACTTTAAATTATCATAGGAATCTTCACCACCCTAAACAAATGATTAATAAAAAAATAAATCATTTATGTATAGTGTTTATTTGTAGCCATGACAATAGTAAAAAATATTAAACCTGATTAATTTTTGCAACAACTAAAATTATACTTAAATTATGTGACAGTAATAATTTCATAGGATATTATGTTATATTGTGAACTATAAACTAATAAACTATAAAATATTAACTTGGCCTTGTTTAAGAACACTTTTCACATGTATTCAAATAATTCTTTCAATAAATTTTATATGAATATATTTAGTTTCATTGTATTACCAACATTACTAAATACTATTGCAAATAGATAGAATACCTATTCAAAAACGTGTTTATAAACTTATGAGTTCTACAAAATATTGGAAGTTGAAGTAAACCACTAGAATGAAAAAAGTATTTAGTATTTTAGAATTAAAAAACTAATAAAAAATTATTTTTTAATTATTTGAAATACAAAAAAAATATTTAAATACAAATTTTTGAATACTTAACACGACTATATCGTAGTTACTACAGTTTACAACGTATCAACCAGTGATTGAAACGAAATTGCCAAGTTTTTTGAATGAATAGTCCAGACATAATATTATTCATGTTAAATTATAGATCACGATAAAATATTTATTAAATGTCATTTATCATTAATATAACACTTCTTATAAGAGTGCACTTAAAAAACCTAACGCTTAACCACTAGGTAAAATCAAAGTTTCAAAAATGTGTTTTAACTATGATACTGACTTAAAACTAATATTTTTTCACATGAAAAAGATGACCCAATAGTTTTTCAAACGATTTATAAGTGACTGATGTAAAAAACATTGATTACTCCTTTTAATAGATTATTTTAATACTTGGGTACTGGGTAGTACCTATTGCAAATAAAATTCATCAGTCTACATTTTAAATATAAATATTTTTATTTAAATGTGGGTGCTGTAAACTGAATAATATTTCCCACAAACCTCATCGACAGCTCACACTCTCACTGTCACCCACGGCAGTAGGTACGCCACACGTAAATATAGTAGGTACAACTGTACAAGGTAGTAGGTAGTAGGCCTAGGGAAGACACTGTACTATTATAAACAAAGATATTGACATTTTTATTTCAATTTACATTTAAATGTCAAAATACTTACATCTGCCGAAGACTGACACTTGAATACTGGACTTTGATAGACGCCAAACGGATCACTTAAAAACAAACGTTGATACGAAAAACTGAACGGTCTTTATTCTTATTATTATCGTGATTATTATTATCGATATTATTATCGTGATTCGTGTTCGAAATACAATAATATTAATTTTGGTCGCCGCGACGAGTCGTCTTTACTCACTCGTCGCGGGGTTCTGGGAAATAAGTTATTAGTGTTCGAACGTAATGTAATTTCATACACGTGTAATAGGGACCTCTAGAAATAACCGATAACGATGGAATATTAATTTATTATTATTATTAGGCTATTGCATTTGTATTTCGTAATCGTATTGCATATGCCATATTATAGATATAATATACGTATTTTAAGAAATGATTGTCGGTGGTGAATAAGACTGGATATAGGGATTTCCCTACTTCGTTTATTTTAATTTACGTATTAAATTGTAATAAAGTAATTTACAAATAGACACTCGTTTATTTTTCGCCGACATTGATTAGATAAAACCGGACCGGACTGGACCAGACCATAAATTTAAAACTTTTACAAAAAAAAGACCGATTCAATATTTTTTAATTTTGGACCTTCCGAACCGGACCAGTGTGTTTATTACATAGTATAACAAAAAAAAAGATCATAAATATTAGAAATCAGACCACAATGGACTGGACTTCTAAGGCGTTTAGTGTAAAAGACAGATTTAGACCGGACCATGGTCCGGTCCGGTCCAGTCCAGACCGGTCCGGACCGGACCATGCAGAGCTCTGTGTTGGCCAGTCATACGATAATGCCAGTAATATGGCTTGAAAGTATACGGGATTACAAGCGCGAATAAAAAAGATAGCTCCAGCTGCTGAATATTTGCCGTGCGCAGCACATTCAATAAATTTAGTAGGTGTTCGTGCTGTTGAAAGTTGTAATAATGCAGTTAAATATTTCAGTATTATTCAAACATTTTTTTCTATATCAACTCATCGTTGGGATAGCTTAAATCAAAGTTTAAAATCAAAGAGAATGCTTTCTTTAAAAACATCATCACAGACACGTTGGTCAGCGAATGCTAATGCTACTAAGGCCTTGACCCTTGGGTATTCTGAAATTACCAAAATTCTTTTTGAAATGTCTAATGATATGAATGAAAATATAAATACTCGTAATGAAGCAAAAAATATTTTTTATCAACTAAGAACAAGAGAAATGGCGATTATGATTGTTACTTGGAATTGTATATTAAAGCGAATAAATTTAACTTCAAAAACTATACAAAGTTCAACAACAAATATATCGTTAATAGTACCATTATACAATTCTCTATTTGATTTTATACAAAATGTCCGAGAAAATTTTGAAATATACGAAAATGAATCTTATTTAATAGTAGAAAAACAAATTGATCACAAATGCAAAAGAATAAAAAAAATGTTGAAGAGAGACAACAAAGTTTAAGACAAAATGTAATTACTGATACACATTATGTAATTTGCGATACATTATTGACAGAAATACAAAAAAGAAGAGAAGTTTATATTAATGTAGAAAAAAAGATTTGGATTTTTATTTAAAGAAAACTTAACCAGAAATTAAATTATGACTAAAATTAAAGCATTAATATTGTTATATGAAAATGAACTTGATATTGACGCCGAAAGCTTCGTAGATGAATTTATTCAATTTCAAAGTCTTATTTCATCTACCAACAATAGCACAACAATAACGCCAACCGATCAATTAAAGTTTATAAGAAATATGCAAATAGCACATACGTTTCCAAATGTAGAAACATGTTTGCATATATTTTTAACAATGCCAATAACTAATTGTTCTAGTGAAAGATTATTTTCATTTCTGAAAAGAATAAAAAATAGATTAAAGTCATCAATGAGTCAAGAAAAATTGGATGCCTTAGGAATACTTTCAATAGAAAGCGATGTCACGGCAAGTATTGATTTTGATGAAATTATAGATGTATTTCCCAAACAAAAGACCAGAAAAAAAAATTTTTAATAATTTATTTAAAATAGTTGTATTATATAATTTTTAATTGTATTTATTGACAAGTGCTTTAAAGAATTAAATATAATTTTGATATTCATATTGTATTTGTGTATATTTATTCTTTATTTATGTTATAATTTATAGCCTTATAGGCCCAATTTTTTATTTTGTCCTGGGCCATATATTTGGTAAATCAGGCTCTGTGTAGTAGGTTTACAAAAAACATGTTTTTTTCTAAGCCAAATGAAAAATTGAAAATGCTAATAGTCCTCGAATTTATAACAATAAAATAATCATGTGTTTTAGTTTCATACTTACATTCTGAATTTGTCTGGTTATCTGGATATTATGTTAACGGCGTACGCAAAAAACGACGGGCGGTCGGAAAATTAAAATCACAATATCAAACACACTACACATTACAAAGTCATAGTCTAGAGCAGGGGTGGCCAACATGACTATGTACGCGAGCCACATGTATTAATAAAATTATATCAAGAGCCAAATTATCTAATGTGTACTTTTATACCACAAAAGTAATAAAGATAGCAAACAGCCTATAAACATATCAAATTACGAAATATGAAATTATATCGTTTTTAATATAGTCTGTAGTCTGTGTTGAATAGTCCTATTGTAAACACCTCAATTTGTTTTGTAAAATATTTGTAATATTTAATAATTATATTTGTAATATTTTACCGATACTTATTGCGAAAGTTAGTTACGATGTCAATTTCTAATAAAGCGGTTAAACGTAAATATGAAGAAGAAAAACGGGAATTTAAATTAGAATGGGAAGAACTATACTTTTTCATACAGAAAAACGATAAACCATTTTGTGTCATATGTCAAGTTACATTATCACAATTTAAGGTTAGTAATTTAAAACGGCATTACGAAACCAATCACAGCACATTTAGTCGAGAATTTCCTATTGGTTCTGATTCGAGGAAAAATAAGCTATGTTCGATGAAATTAAAATTTGCTAAACAAACTAATGTTATGACAATGTTTACGAACGAGGCAGACGACTGTGTAGAAGCAAGTTTTGTAATTGCCTTTAATATTGCTCAAGCAAAACGTCCGTATACGGACGGCGAGTATATAAAAAAAAATATTTTAGATGTAATTTCTGTTTTAAATCCTGAAAATCAAAAACTTTTAAAAATGGTTGAAAATGTACCAGTATCACGACATACAATAGAAAGGCGTATTTCAACAATTAGCTTTGATATTTTCACCAATTTAAAAAACAACATTGCTAATTGTTTATCTCTTAGTCTAGCTTTAGATGAATCTACCGATATCCAAGATAAACCTCAGTTAGCCATATTTGTTCGTTATGTTACGAGTGATGTAGATGTGAAAGAAGAGTTGTTAGATCTAATTTCATTGAAGGAAACTACTCGGGGTATTGACATTAAGATTGCTCTCGATGAAACTCTACAAAAAGCTGAAATTCCACTAAACAAAATTATAAGCATTTCAACTGATGGAGCTCCTAGTATGGTGGGTTGTAAAAATGGATTAATAGGACTTTTAAAAAATGATACTAATTTCCCAGATTTTATACCTATTCATTGTATTCTACATAGAGAACACCTAACTGCTAAATATTTTAAATATGATCATGTGATGGATGTTGTTTTAAAAATTGTAAATTACATACGTTCAAGTGCAAAAAGACATCGGCAGTTTAAAAACTTCCTGGAAGACATAGAAGATGATATTCCTAATGATGTCCCATGGTATTGTCTAGTTAGATGGTTGTCGGTCAATAACATTTTAACTAAATTTTTTCAATTAATAGAACCAATCAAAGTATTTTTAATAGAAAAAAATAAAAGTTTTCCTCAACTTTCAAATTCAAATTGGTTAAGAGATTTGGCATTTTTCACCGACATCATGCAACATTTATCAACATTAAATGTATCTCTTCAAGGTCAAAATAAATTAGTTAATGACCTAGGGCAAAAAGTATTTAGTTTTCAAAATAAACTAAAACTTTTCATACGAGATTTACAATCAAACAATTTTACTCACTTTTCATGTTTAGAAAAAATAGAAGCGTCCCTGATAGAATCAGAAATAAAAATTAATTGTGACGACTATGTACTTAAACTTGAATTTCTATTTACTGACTTCGAAGAACGATTTCGAGACCTAAAGGCATTAAAACCCTCATTCGGATTTTTAGAAAATCCATTTTTGGTTAATGTCATTGAAAAGGGATGTCCATTATCACATCCAATCATCACAAATAAAGCGGATCTCGAAATAGAACTCTTGGAGTTATTAGAAGATGAAGGTCTTAAGCAGTTTATAAACAATTGTCCCTCTATATTGGAATTTTGGAAGCATATTTCTATATTAAAATACCCAAATATTAAAAACTGTGCGGTAAAATTGATATCAATTTTTGGAACGACGTATTCATGTGAATCACTTTATTCAACAATGAAAATAATTAAATCAAAATATCGTTCAAATTTGACTGATGATCATCTTACAGAATTACTAAGAACTGCTCTTACATCAATTCAACCAGATCTTAAGAAGCTTACTAAAAAAGTAGACACGAAAAAAATACCACGCAAACAAAATTAGCTTAATGTTTAATTTTTTAATTTATTATTCATATTAATTAATTTTTTTTTGTTTGATTTAATCTATATTCTATCCACTATAATACTAAAGCCTTAAATAAATACAATAAAAACATTTTTTTATAAATGTATACAAAAAAAATTTAAATATTTTGGTTTTTGTAAATAAGACCGCGAGCCGCATACGACTGTGACGAGAGACGCATGCGGCTCGCGAGCCGTGATTTGGCCACCCCTGGTCTAGAGCAATGGTCTTCAACCTTTTTTGACCTGCGACCCACTTTTCTTACCAAACATTTTTCGCGACCCATGTAAATTTCGTTAGCCATGAAAACCAAATAAAAAAGTTAAAATTGTTTAGTGTATGCCATTTTAGAAGTGCTTTTACAACAATCAAAATTTATATTTTTTTGGTACCTATTTAGAAAATATTTAATTTTTAATATAAGTAATGATACAAAAAAAAAAAATGCATGTAATGATACCGAAAAATGTTTATGTTTTGATACACAAAAGAAATGAGTGCCATATTTGTCCTTCCGGACTGTTTTCACACGAAATACCTCCACCTCAGCTCAGTTTAACTCAATGCAATTTATAGATATATGAAATGTAAATGAGATTTATAAATTAAGTCGGGCTATCACTTCATTTTATTGTTCATTATTTTT